ATAAGTCTGTCTGAGAAAAACAAACATCATAAAAACTTTGCATTGCCAATTGTTCTTCTTTTGATTTTTTTCAACCACTTCAAAATGTAAAAACCATTCTTGGCTCACAGGCCATACAAAACCAGGCCGCAAGCTGGATTTGGCCCTCGAGTCATAGTTTGCCAAGCCTGGCTCTATCCTATACTGCCTTCCTCTCAGTAGGTAAACTGTCCCGTGGAAAGTGCCAGAACAGTGGCTGACACAGACTCAGTGGTCAATAATGCTCATTCTTTCCTTTCCCTAATCTCATTCTCTCTCCTCCTCCTACCGACCAGACCTGTCACATACCTCATGATGTGCCCAGCATGAGAGATGAGGACTAGGGCACTGGTCTTCAGCAAGGTGAATTACAACTTGTTCAGTAAGGACAGCCCTGGTGGTCCCAAAGGGGAGGAAAGGCTGGAGAACTGAGGCCAGTGTGTCTTGGATGTTAATGTGTTTCTTTCAGGCTCTCACTAAGATGCTAATTCTGATTCAGCAAGTCAGGGTGGGGCCTGAGCTTCTGCTTTTCTAAGGTGCTCCCTGTGGTATGATGCTGCTGGTCCTGTGGTCACCCTTTGCACAGCATGTGTCTACACTGTCCCCTTTGTGTCTATAGACCAAGAGGATCCTTAGCACTCCCTCCTGACTGAAGGATCAAAACGGTGTCACTGGGCTACACTGAGAAACCCCCTGGAGAAAGAGCAGGGCTCAGGACAGAGATAAACAGGTCCCTCCCCAAAGATAGCACTGAGATGATTTACACTGAAAAGGAAGACAAGGAGGGACAGAGGTCAAGGGCAAGTAGAGGAAGCCTCAAGCCCAGGCATCAGTTTCTTCCACAACAGCAGACAGAAGGCCTCCACTGGGGCTGCAGTCAGGAGTCCCTCCTCCCGCACCTGCCAGAGCTCTGACGGACTGAGCAAGAGGCCTATTTCCTCATCGGGCCTCTGAATAACTAGGGCATTTCCACAAGGTCACAGTTATTCATTTAAATTCCAGCTCTAATCAGCAGGCAGAGCCTGAGAAATTATCCGTTCTGAGGAGAGAGGCTGTCGGGGAGTACCACAAACAGCGCCCATGGCAAGACCAGAGGTGCTGGGGGAAGGGGCTGGAGGGAAAGGGAGAGTCTCACACCACAGGTCCGCCACCTAGATCCTTCTACCACCCTCCCTGCTTCCTCACCTCCAAATGGCTTCTTTCCCCCTTGGAAGAGAGTTCTGGAACATGCAGAAGGGGGGAAAGGATTGAAGGCAGGGCAGGGATGGACCTATCCATTCCTGCCCCACAAGCAGCCCAGGGCAGTCAATGACAAATCCCATGGGCAAAAGCAAGGGATTAGGCACCTGGCAGGGGTCCTTTCCAGGCCACAAATGGGTTACATGGCTTCGATGTTCTTTCCCTTCTTTGGGCTTCAGTTTCCTTCTCCAAAAACTGTATTCCTTAAACAGGATACCCTTTGAGATCTGCTGTAGGGTCATGAGATCCTACAGACTCACGACGCCCCTCATGCTTATGGCCACTCTCTCTGTTCAGTCAAGATTTGGGAGGGTCTATCATGGGCCATGCATCATGTGACAGCCCACAGCACCACAGAACTGACAGGATTAGAAGGACAAGAGCACAGGGTCTGGAGGCATAAGAATCTGCAATCCTGGTTTAGTCATTAGCCAAAAGTGACCATGGAGGTTACGAAGATCCTTAAGACTGCTTTTCCCACAAGTAGTGCAGAAGGTAATGCCCACCTGGAGGGCCTGACACGAAGAGTTAAGTGAGACGATACTAGAAAGATGTCAGAGCCATCTCCCTACCTCCTGCAGGTTAGCAAGCCACAGATGCTTGCTGTTGCTTTTCTTATTCCATATCTCCTTCTCAAAGACTAGGAGGAGATTTTGTGGACGTTCCCACAGGGCAGTCAAGTGTAGCACCTGCCCCTTTGCTCTGGGTGTCCAGGATTCATTCCTGAAGTCCTCAGTCAAAGGTGTTGCCTGCCAACCTTTTCTCAGACTGTGTTTTAGAGTAGGGTTACTTCTAACCAGTCTCCTCGGCATGCAAAATTTATCAATTAATCAATCGTTCCTTTATAGTCTTCCAGCGGCCCCTGGGTAAACAGTTACATTAGCTCATAAAATCCCCAATTTGTCTTCCTGAGGGAAAGTAAAAAAAAAAAATCAGAGAACCACTAACGGCTTCTAATGTCAGAGCCATAGACGCTGCTGGCTCCAGATTGCCTGGCCAGGAGTTTAGAAAGAGGGAAGGCCACCCACTGACCTTGGCCAGAGCCAGGCCAGCTCAGGCTGTCTCCTACTATGTCCAGGGCCACAACAGAAGGAGCTGAACCAGTGATTTTGTTCTTAAGACTCAGGAACAAAGAAAAGCAAATAATTGAAGAAGTAACAGGATTTGCAATCAGCCCTGTTCACTTAAGGGCAGAACGAAGGTGCACAAAGCTTGAAATGCAGCTGAAATCCCTCTTGGTCCTACTACTCACTAGCATGGCATATCACTTAACTTTCCTGGGCCTCAACTTCTTCAGTGATAAAATGGAGCTCAGGCCACATACCTCAGAGGGACATTAAGACAATAAATGTAATAATGAAATGGAACTGGAGGCAGGTAGTAACTTGCTGTTACCTGAGGAAGGATCACCCACAGACCTTCACTCCTTTTGGTAACTAGAAAGAAGGCCTATGGTCTTCCCCACCCTGGACCAATATAGTACCTCTGTGAGAATAAGAAAAGGATGCCCTTTGGTTGAAGGCAATCACAGGGTCACAGGCTAGGAAAGAGGAATGCAGGCTGATTTCAGCCCCCATTTGTTCCTAGCTGGGAGCAAGTACCATATGCATAATCCTAAGTGGTAAACCCTGGTCACATGTCTGCCATGAACCAGGAAAAGTAGAGGGTAAAGCAAGTAGCACTTTGTCAACTAAAACATGAGGTTTTAAAGCTGAGCATAGTATCTCACATTTGTAATCCTAGATACTTGAGATACTGAAACCAGGAGTATCACACCCATATCAACTAATAAAAGCTGGTACAATGGCACACACCTTTCATGCCAGCTACACAGTAAGCATTTGTCAGAGGATCTGCATTCAGGCCATCCTGGCATAAAAGCAAGACCCTATCTCAAAAATAACCAAAGTAAAAAGGACTGTGGGCATGGCTCAAGTGGTAGAGCACCTGTCTGGCAAGTGTAAGACCCTGAGTTCAAACTTCTATACTTCCAAAAAGAAAATTGAGGTTTTAGGCTTATTTTGTCATTTCCTTGAGGTATACTAGCAAACACCCTCCTATTAGAGAGGCCTTCCCTGACCATCCTCTGTAAATCAGGAACTTCTCCTTTATACTACTCCATTTTTCTCCACACCACTTATTAATTACCACCTGACAACAAATATTAATATATACATATGCATAATGTGTAATGTCTGTATGTTATTGTTTTAGTTCGCTGTCTGCCTCTGTTTATACCAAAAGGTACTGAAGACAGAGAGTATATTCTGTTTTGTTCACAATGTCTGGCCCATAGACATTTGTTGAGTGAATGATTCAACTGAAATATTATTAAATAGAAAGAATGAATTTAAGGCTATCATCCTAGGAAATGTTGCCCTGAACTTTGGTTCAAATACCAACAATTTTTAAAGATGGAAGGCAGGCAGATAAAAACAGAAAATACTCTGACCTTTGTATGAGGTGAGGATAACTGTGTTATTCTCTTATGTTGTGTAACATCCCATATAGAGCAATGATCACATAGACCCTACTTAAGACTGGTTCATTGTTTTAGACATTGAAAAACAATAAAGGATAAATTCATTTGGAAAGAGGGCTGCTAATAAAATTTCACATTAGTGCTAAGTAAAAATAGACAAAGAAATAGTAGTACCATTAGGAAATACATGAGAGTTTCAGTCATCAATAATTTTCAATGATGGCCCCCAGCATGAACCAGGGCAGTATGCATGGGCTCTAGAGTCAAAGACCTAAGTTCAAATGCCAGTACCACCACCGACAAGTTCTATGGTCTGGAGCAAAACTGCTTAACTTGTTGGGCCCTAAATTTCCTGCTTATTAAAGTGGATAAAACAATACCTATCTTATTCTGATCCTATAAAGACTAAGTGTTAAGAGAGCTAAATAGGAAAATATGTAACAGTGTCTAAGATGATGCTCCCTTCCTATTTGATAGTTAATTCTTCTTCTTAACTCAATTTTCTAACCAGTTTAGAATAGACTTCAAACCATTATAAATCATCTGACTCTTCAGGTACATCATCTCATATGATTCTATACATATGTATATGTATATGGTCAAAAATACATCCACAGTGCTTAAAACTGGGACTCTGGTTGAGTATACATTTTAAACAGATAAATGTACAATTACCATAAAAATGTTCTTTCCATTTTTCTACTGACAAAGCCATTCAACCAAACAAATACTATTTTTTTACAGTGAGCATGTATTACTTACCTATCCAAGAAAAATAAATATTTGCTAATTTCATTGTGGAGGAAATAGGCATTTCTTAGAATAAAAAGAAAGAAACCTTTATTCAACCACGTCATATTTTCCGTGCTGAGCATGAATACATTCAACTTTCAACCACATGAAGCTGTAGAAGATAAGCAGATTCGTGGGCAAATGCTCATTAAACTGGCAAACATATCTAAGAACACCATTTTAAATATTTTCAGAAAATGCTAATTTTCCACTTCTTTGATTCACACAGAACTCAGAAGGAAGTGATCATATAAGTCACAGAACCATATTCCTTTGGTTTTAAAATGGTTCTTCAAAACCAACATAAATCCATCAATTCAAGGTATTTCTTCTTCTAAACTTAAATCAGGAAAAATACAATATATTTAGATTTTCATCACTGGAAAAAAGGGGTCACTTCAGAGTCAAACCATGCACAATCTAGCAGAGGGGAAATTCCCACAGCAACTATGCAAATGCAAAAACTCACCTGGACCTTGACTGACATCTATGGCAGCATTTTCAAAGGGAGGGAAAGGGCGAGGAGAGAGAAAGGGAGAATAGTGTTAGCAGCACACACACACACAATGCAATATGCCCTTGCATGACTGTGATAGTCATGCAAGCACCAAAAGATGCACTTAGTACTACTTTCACCCAAAACCACCCATGCAAGCCTTTTCACTGTGCATGTAGCTAGAAAGGTAAGCTTCCCATCTGTCCGGAAATACATCATCCTGGAATCAGATAGGACTCCAAAGAGTCAAGCAAACTGGAATCCTGCAAGAATATTGGTTAAAATATTCTGGTTGATTTCTGCACACTGATACCCAAGAAAATCCTCCTTCTATCTAGATACCAGACACTGAATACGAAGTCAAGCAAGGTTTCCCAGCAGAGAGAAAAATTAATAAGCCACTCCCTGGAGGAACAAAGAAAAAGAGGTATCAGAGGTAAGAGCTAGTTGCAATATTATTCACCACAGAGGACTGATCACAAAACAGTTACAATTCCTTCCCTTCCTAGTGGCCCCAGTGACCATTCTTCATCACAGACAGCAGTGTGTATATGAGACTGGGTGTGAGTAGAGCATCCACCATACAAATGGAAATTTTGCCTACTCCCTTGTTTTTTTCCCCTTGTTTTTCACTCCATCACTAATGACAAGAATTGTCCTTGGAAATCATTTTTGACAACTACAAATAAACACCCAACTCTGGAAAGGTTGACATTTGAATAAAGCCAATGAATTTTCAAAACATAAAGAAGTGTTCACTCCCATCATCTCTATGAACAACACAATCTCCTCCTCCTCCCACCCTCAAATATGAAATTGAATTGGGCTGGGAAAGCCTATCAAGAGTAGCCCAAGGGCATTGTCAAGACACAAGACCAAGTCTGACATTCCCATAGCATATCCCATAGCACAGGAAGGTCAAGATACTTCTTCTGGAAAACACTAACCATCCAGGCAATACTGGTAGACTCAAGAGTTGTTGAATGATTGAATGGTGGATCCAGGGTGGCCACAGACATTAATTGTCTATTTTATTCTTTTTTGTTAAAATAGAGGGTTAAGAGGTTGACTTGTCCAAGTTCACACAGCTGTTTCAGAGACAGAGCCTAGAAAAACCCTTAGATCTCTGGAATCCTATCTAGTTCCTCATTCATTCAATTGAAGTATAGGTTTCTCAGAAGCATATGTGACCCAATTCAGGTTGCAGAGTAAAGAGAGTACTCTGAAGCCATAGAAAGCTGGGTGAGAGTCTTCCAGATGCTCCGTAAGTAAGTCATGATTTATCTTCTGAGGCTTTAATTTGCTGCCTGAACAAGGTAGGAAAATCGCTCCATGCCAATAATAAAAACCTCTGCAATCAAACTAGTAAAGCTCCAGAAAGTGCTTATGGCTCTTGCCCCAGGAAACTCAGGCTCTGACCAGACTGAGCTGTGCACTAGCATCTGGAAGGGACACACCACAATGGCTGAGAATTCACGCAGCACACACCCTGCATTCTCTAGAAGCCATATCTTCTCAGAGACTTCTAGAGTACTCTGAATCACTCGTCAGACAAACCACCTTTCAAGTTTTCTGGTGAGTTAGATTTAGGGGTGGAGTGGCAGGAAGGAGGAAGAAAAGAGGTGAAACAGAAGAGGTGGGAAGGGAAAAGCTTGCTGCATAAATAACCAAGTCGGGCCATTAACTGTGATTGATGGGTTGCCTAGAACAGTGGTCATTAAAATACCCCTTAATTAAGCAAGATATCAAACTATTTACATGTGGTGTTCTGTGGTGAGAATGTAAACACCACTGTTCATAGAAACACACTCTTTGAATGTAAACACCACTGTTCATAGAAACACACTCTTTGAGACAGGACTCCTTGAGCCCTCAAAGGTCTTTAGATACTGGTTAGCTGCCCCTTTGGGCATTGTAGTTATGACCTTGAACTTGGAGACAGGTCTGATTTCACATCCTAGCTTGCTCTGTAGCCTTGGGCCCATCATTGAATTTCTCTCTAAGTCATTTCCCTCAGTAATAGAATAGGAAAAATAACGGATCTTCTCTCACGGGGTTGTTATGAGAATTAAATGAGATTAAATGCTTGTAAAGCACTTAGTACAAGGTAAACACTGCATAAATGTGAGCCACACTGATTATTATCATTTTGTATTACCACAGACAGAAGTACCAAAAAAATATTGACCAGATGGCTCACTGGAAACACCAAGAGACCACAGGAATTAAGCCAGTGATTCTGGTTCAACCCTTTTACTTATGAATGAGGACAAATGCTCCAGTTCCTCCTTCTGTAATTCTCTGAATGAAGTGAGAAAAGCAGGAGTCTTGGGAACAGGAGCAGGGGTTGAAACAAATTCCATGCTTATTTATTTTGTTTTCCATCTTCAAGTTTTTTGTAGTGCCATGCATCCAAACACAGCATATGTTCTTGTCACAGAGGGGCAAGAATGCTACCCAGAAAACCCCTTTCACTAGGGATCAAGGTCAGAGCTCAGTTCCTGACTGTGGCAGTGACTGCGGGCAGTTAGTTCTGAGCCTTATTCCAACTTTAGGAATAGAGGCACAGAATCACCTGGCCCCTAGCCCAAGAAGCAGTGAGTGACCTGAATTTCTGGACTCAATTCTGACTGACAGAATGAAGTGGGAAGGGGGATGGGTAGAAAAGGAGAAGGATGTCCAGAGAGAAACTTGACTGTATCTAGCCATTGCGTTACCTCTCCAGCAACTTTCTCTCTGCCTGTAACAACCCCTAGCTGTCCTTAGAGGGACCAGCTTTCCCATCCTTAATTCACGTGGTTGGCAGATGTGACCCCCTCCTCAGTCCTACCTGAGCTTCAACGGGAGTCATGTGACTCAGGTCAGGTCATGAGCATATCCTGCCTCCTAGACTCAATAATTAGCCCAAGAACAGACATGTGACCCAAGTATAACCCGTGAGATTCTTCCCATGGTATTTCACTAGAATTATCAGGAAATGGGGTGTTCTCTTTTCTCTTGGAGCTGCCGGATTCCATCTTTGTTACCATGTGGCAACAGTTTACTTCAGAGTGAAGGCAACATCAAAGAAAAAGGACTTCTTACTATAATGAGATGGCAGCAGACCTAGAGTCAAGATCCAGCTCTGCAGTTTATCTATAGGTAACCGATCAGCTTCTCTGAGCCTTAAACTTCTCGTGTGTACAAGGAGCTCCTCATCGTATCGGTGGAGACCACTGAATTGTATCATTGGAGATCATCTACTCGCCACTCAATACCAACTCAATACAGCAATTGCAAGCAAGACCTTGCTTTAAATATCGAGAATACAAACAGTGAAATAGACAAGACTCTTAGATTTTGATGGGTGATATAAACAATAAGAACATGGTTATATGATGTAATGTCACCTGTGATTAGTACCATGAAGAAAGGATTAAACGGGGCAACAGGAGTCCCATGTCAGAGAAAATAAAGGCCTTTCAGAAGAATACTAGAACTGAGACCTGAAGGTGAGTCTTACATGTACCTGACAAAGACTGTTCAAAAAGGAGAAAGCAAATGCACAGGCTATAGGCAGGTACCACTCAGTTATTTCTACTATTAGGACAGGAGGGCTGAGGACTGGATGCTCCCATAACCTGATGCCTTCCTTCCAGCTCTGTCACCCACACACAGTCCTCACAGGTGCTCAAGAAATACTCAAGGGAAAACAAACCCTGATGAAAACTATTCCTGGTTCAGTCTGGAGTCATCTGACTTAGGAATGCCACACACCAAGCAGGGGTTGCAAAATGAGAGGAAGGGTTTGGAACCTACCACCATCCTTCACCCACTCTTGTTAGCATCGTGACTAGGAAGAAGAAAATCAGGGCATTTCTGCCACCACTCAGTACCCACGGACATGGATTGTATATTCAACAATGACTTTAGGCATAAGTGCATATGCTCAACATGGCTATTTTCAAGTTCAAGTTCAAAAGAAATGACTTTCTGCAGTTTGGGGGACCTGGTTTTTCTAACTACAGGAGGAAAGAAAGAAAGGACCCTCCATCTGCTGCTTCATTTGCAGACACTAGCTTGGCCAGGGGAGCCCTCCCACCTTACCCTTCACTTTAACTAGATCATCTTAAGAGGAAGGAGTATGAGATTCCCCCACTCTCTTCTACAACCCCCCCCATCCCTGGAGGAGCTTTGGGGAGCATGGGGTAAACTGCATAGAAAGCCTCCTAGAGGACAGTCCCAGTCAAACCTTTGGGGACCCCACCTGGTGAACTCTGCCTTGAGTATGACCTATTTTCTAGGAGAGAAAATAGAATATAGATTTAAGTGCAGTGATGCTCTGGAAAACTCCAGGCCAAGCAGTGTGAGAAAATAAGACAGCAGGCAGTAGTGAGGAAGTGCTGGCATGGGTAAGGATGCCACCTCTGCTAGATCAATAGCATCTGGTTGTCAATAGCCTTTTCTCCTGCAATTTCCCCTCAGGTTTTGTTCAGTAAGAAACTGATACACTATTTACATGTTTCCTCTGGCCAATTCTGGGCTCAATGTCACTACCCATGCACAGACCTCAGGGTGCAGCAAGCACACCGCAGAGGAACTTTGGGGATACTGCCCTCAGAAATGGGGAGGTAATAAGGCAGGGAGCTATATCTGTATCCCAGGTCTGCCTTCACTGGCCATGAAAAGAGTTTTTGGCTATTTTTGTTAAATTTGTGTTCTCTTATATGAAGGACATTAAATTAACAGCTAACATGGACTGAGGGCTTTCTGTGTTCTTGGCACTATTCTAAGTGTCTCAACAGCAACTCTGTGAGATGGAAGCTTTTATCATAACCATGTTACAGATAAGGACACCTAGGCACAGAAAGCTGAGGTACATGCCCAGAGTCACACAATCTATGAAACAGATCTTGAATCCTGGCAATGGGGCTGTGAATTCCTCTCTTTGTCAATTACCATGGTGGCAGTAACCCCCTCCTACATCAGAAGGTGAATATGAGGAAAAAATG